GCTCGCCTGGGGCCCGCGTCGTCCCCTCCCCGGGGTCCTCTGCGTGCCCCCGCGCCGGCCTGGGGGCTCCGTGCCCCCGGCCCAGGCCTGTGTCAGCCCCCGTGTGGAAGCGGCACGCGTGGGGGTGGCCCTTTGGGGTGTTGGGCTGCTCGAGTCCTGCTGCCCGGGGCTGTCACCCCGGCCCTCCACCCCATGAGCAGTCTTGGGGGGCTCCTGAGGCACCTGTGGAGGGAGGCGTCGTGAGGAGGCGGGTGCCGCGTTATGTGACTGTCCCCACGGGCTGAAAGCCGGCCGGTGTGTGCCTGCGAGGGATGGCTCGAGGGGAGTCCCTCCTCGGGACAGGCGTCTTTGGGAAGTTGCCCATGGGCAAACTAAGGAATGTTTGTGAGAAATATCCCCCGTAAGAAATGTTACCCCGAAAGTCATGAGCAGTGCCTGTCCTGTTCCCACCTCTTCTTGCACCACTCGGGTGCGATTCCTCTGCGAAGGAAACACAGTTGGTGCCTCTTGCTGTGTGTTGCCTCCGTTGCTGGAGATGGTGCTTTGGTGAAGGCTTGTTGCTGAAATGTGGCTTCCCTAAGCAAAAAATACATTTCAGTGTGTTGTCCCAAGAATATGTGGTCTCCTGGAGCTTGTGCTGTGTGAACTTGGCCTGTGATACGTTGTTTGGGTTGGAAAGTGTGGCAGTGATGTTCAGTTCTTTGCGGTAGGGATAACGGGGTGGATTGGGACTGAGCGTTGTCTTTGTGAGGATGGGCTAGCGATGGACGTGTAATGGATGGAGATAGGTCAGGTGTTCCCTGTTCTTAAAAGGAAAATGTTTGGGACTATTCCTAGTGAATAAAGTATGTGTACCAAGCTGTCTACCCTTATCATTTTAGGGTGTTGTCTGCATACAGAAGAAATGTCATACAAATTGCCCATATCTCTCACTTGTGTTGATGCCCCCACCCACACCGAGAAGGGCAGGTTCAGAGTGTGGTCTGTGCTCTTTTAGTTCTCATTTTCATAAAGTTGGTGGACTTCTTTGCTGCGTTCATGCTATGATACACAGAATAAAAAAAGTTGCGAGAAAAGCAGAGGCACAGATCCGTACAACTGGTATGCCTGCTGCAGGGATCACAGGCTATTTGACATCCTCTTTGGGCTGTTCAGATTACTGAGTCTGGGCTTCTAGGTTTTGCATCCACCATGAAGGTCCCATCGTGATTTTCAGGGAGGTGACAAGCCACAGCCTCATAGGTTACTTTTATTTCGGTGGTGCCTACAGTTAAAGTTTTGACAGCTTTACAGGAGAAACTGGTGTGAAGGAGTCTTCTAGGACTGCTGCTGTAGTCATAAAACAGGGTGCAGGTGGAGTACAGAGTATGAGGTGGAGTGACACCAACGACAGAGAAGCAATTGGTCAAAAGTGAGAGGGGGGAAAAACCTAGGTGACAAGGAGAATGAGGTAGAGAGATTATAAGTACACTAGGGAGAGGAAGACGAAGGTGGTAACGTGGCTAAGCATGACCATGAAGACAAGGATAGCAAAGATTAGGAAAGAATAAATGGAAGGAACAGTTCAAGAAATGGGAGAAGAGGAAGGTCAGGATCTGGTAGATCTGGTAGCTGAAAAGGACAGACGAGGGAAATGGGACAGTGTAGAACAAAGGTGGTGGTGCAATTATCCGCTTTCCAGAAGGCAAAACACATTTTTTTCAGATGGATGCTAAAAATACTTCAGTGGAAACAGTTGCAGAGAAGCTGAATAACCATAAGTGAAGGATGGGTTTGGGGGCTGCAGTGTGCTGACAGCGGGATGTGAGCCATACTTTGAAAGTCTTGGATTTGTACACTAGGTCACATCGTACTGTAAACCTCCTTCTGATAACATATGGGAACTTATTTGGTGGTCGTTCATGTGAACAAGTTGTATGTTGTCAAAATGTAAATATTTTCTTCCTTTTTTTCCTTAAATATAGTTTGTTTCCATAAAATGACATGAAGGTTACAAGTTGTAAACTCAAGTAAGCTTAATTATCTGCATACTTTGCTGTTCCCTGGGGACAGGCAATCTGGTGCTGGGGATCTCTGCCTTGGAAAGTTTTGGTTGTGTTTGTTAGGAAATGTTCCAATTTTCATATTAGTGTCGATTTCTAGACTCTTGTTATTATTTGCATGAGATTTTTAGATACTTTGAACTGCAGTTCTAGATCCTGTCGGTAAGCCTTTGTATTTGTTCTAGACGCGCAGCAAA